AAGAATGAATTACCAAATTCTCTACAACATTCGGCTATATAGCATTCAATTCGATATCTGAATAGAGTACAACTGAACTCTATTCTAATTACTCTACAACTAATAAAGCAATTGAAGAAGATAGATGAATGTAAACTCCCTCTACAATCCAATAGCTCAAATTTGGCATTGCTCTTGGAAGAATCTACAGAATTAGCTACACATGACGGTGACTTTTCCTCTCTTAAACTCAGACTGTAGCTCTGCCATGAAAATATCAGATTTGGCAATAACTATGCAGGCATTCTGAGAAGACAGAGATGAATAAGAACCAGTGAACAAAGGAGTATCTCAAGTGTATGAGCCTATCCAAGCAATCAGGTAGCCAGAAAATGAAATCGTTCAGTTCTCCCCCACTTCCTCTTCCTCTGCAGTTATTAATCTTGTTTTTGGGTTCCAAGTTGCTATAACTATTTTTTTTTTCTGTTGGCTCTTTGCTGGCTTGGAATGAATTTTTAACTTTTTTGAGTTTTCCCGCTTCCCAATTGAAATTTCCGAAATTGAGTGTAAGTATTTTCGATTGGAACTCTTTTCCATTGGTGATAAAAATCAGTTTCTATTAGTGATGGAATTGCTTTTCCTCTAGACTCCCCTTTCATTCCTCACTGGAAATCTGTTTCTGCCACTTTATTTTTACCATTCTGCCCTTGAATTCAGAACAATAAGCCAGAAGTAATATCCAATTGTGGAATTTCATAAAAACTATTAAACTATCACAATTGCTTAATTCTTTTACTCAAGTGTATCAACATTTTATTTATTTATTTATGCAATTAATGGTCAATCTATTCCTTAAAATAGCCTACAATATACATTCTAAGCATATGAAAAACATGATTTATCAAATTCCCCCACACTTAAGTTTTGGCATTCTTGGGACAGAATGATGGAATAAAGCAAAGTCTCAAGCACATTATCAATAAAGAGTGCTAAATCATGCTCAAGAGTGAGATACTTGTATTCATCAACCATTCCCTTTAAATGCCATCAATAAAGAACAACCGCATGGCAAAAGATCAAATCACAATCAAGCAATTTAGACACGGCAAGCAAATAGAAAGATAATGTTTCTCAAAGATCAAGGTAATTTCTCTCAGGACAATCTAGTTTAGGCTTCACCATAGGCTTATAGCCATCCTACATCTCCATCATTCACTGGCTACAAGGTTTTGTGAATCAAAGGGGCTTGTTAAGGTTGTAATGTTGGAAAGGCCAAATGTTGGAATGGAAAATGAATGTCAATGGTCAATGAACATATGCATTTTACTAAATTGCTTAGCACACGAGAAAATTTTCTGTTCAAAATTCAAGATATGTTCACACATGAATCCAAATATGAATTATATCAGCAAGTTGACATAATCATAATCATGAACGAATATATTTCCTCAACCTTGTCAATTCAGCTGCTTATTTATTTCTCTTTCCTTTTTTTTCATATATTTTTTTCTTTTCTTCTGTCTTCATTGGTATCTCTTCATTTATTATTTTTGTATCTTTTCTTCTAAAATTTTTTTTCATCACTGCAGCAGTGATTGTACGGTCAGACAAGTAGGATTATATCAAGCTTTCTATAATAGATTTTTAACTTCTATCAACACATATACCATCACAGAACTGAACCATCATGTCAGCAACTCATATTCTCACAGTATCCAAAATATGCAATGTTCATCAATCATGCTGAAATTTTTAACGAGCAGTGAAAAGCTCAAGGGGTTAAGCAACGGATTAGTGTAAATGGCTGTTGTTTGGTCAAAAGGATTTTGAATGAAATGCCCTTATCGTATTCACAATTCCAAGTGCTAATGTAGCCTTGAATTAAAGATAGAAACAAGTTCTAGGAAGTTACTACACTGGATGGCTTCACACATCGTTTAAGACATGAATTAAGACCCAAAATTCTTCCAACTGTTTTGCTCATCCCTATTCACTTACCATGAACAAATTGTATGAGGATTTGAACTTAATGCATGAGAAGAGTTATTTATAAAATTGTGTCACCTTACACTTAAATTCGTGTTAATTTTTTAATTTGGTTATGTTCAATGATTTTGTATATATGAATTTGTAAAAAAAAAATTTGTTAAATATGGCATATTAAGAACGATAATAAATTTAATTTCAATTATTTGGATTTAAAATATATTTAAATAATATTTTTGTTATTTTTATATTTTAATTATTTAACTATATATTTTTAATACTAATTTTCAATAAAAGTAAATTTTTACAAGTTTATGATTCAAGTTTATAATTTGAGTTCACATATTTATCATAAGTGTATTTAAACTCATGAATTTGATAACTTTGGAGGGAATTACAAATTTATTTTAAAAAAATTAAATAAAGATCTTTATCTCAACACTATTAGAGGGCATCTAATAGTTAATATCCGTTAATTGAGACTTAAATGAGAAAGCTCAACTAAAGGGTTCCAATCCTTATTTCACATGGTACTTTTGGCTGAAATTAGCTCGCACAATCTATACCTCTTATGGCTGGCAATTGATATTTAAAAAGAAATTGATAGGAGTTTTTTCGTTGGCCAAAGGTAAGAGTACTGTTATAATATTTAAACCAACATTTACCATATCTATTAAAGTTATAATTTTACTTCAAATGGGATAAGTGTGTTCTGATTTAATTATTACCTTAGAATAAAAACAGTACTCTTATCTTATTAGAAAAATAGGCACTGATAATAAGAAAAAGGATAGCAGCATTAGCATTAATATCAATAAATTTTTGGAATATTTGACCAAATTATTCTTAACATTTTAGGTATTAACATTATGAACTATATAATCTCTGATCCTAATTATAAAATCTCATTTATAGTTTATAAATGATATCTTATAATTAAGACCGAAGGTAATATATAAATCTTAAGTATGTTTTATTCTTCTCTTCAAGATTTGGTTTTATTTGAATACCAGTATTAATTATCTGTCATGTGAGCTAATTAATTATGCACACTAGCTGTTTCCCGTGGCTTTGCTCTCCTTTTCACTATAAACAATACATTTTTTCTGTTATATAAATGGAAACAGCTTGAAATGGTGATGAAGCCCTGATATTTTTCGCCGTGCCACATATTATGCTAAATGAATAATCTGTGATTTATGAATAGTATAACTTGTTATAAATTAAAATAAAATATAAAAATTTGTATGTAAATTAGATCTTACTAATATGCAATTCAGCTATTTAAGAAAAACAATGATTAAACATAACCTTTATAAGCGACAAAAAATATGAGAACAATCTTTTACGTCGGCCAACAGTTGAGCCATCATTACGTCATGTTATTTATAGCAGTGAACAAAAAACCAGTTTGGACCGACTAGTTCAACCAATAAACCAATGAACCGGTCAGTGGACGGGTTCGGTTTGGATGCTAAACCGGGAGGGAGTTGAACCGGTAGAGAACTAGTCAAATTGGTGTGAAAATTATATATATAAATATGTCTAAATAAAATATGTCTAAATTAAACCTTTTTTTATATATATTTTCTCCATCATACACTCCTTTGTATGAAAATTATAAATATAAATATGCCTAAATTAAACCTTTTTTTTTCAATCAAGATAATGGATTTTTTCAACCACTCAACAGTAAAGTAAAACATTACTCCCTTCCTCCATTTTTATGAGAAACAATCTTTCTCATAAAGATATTTCTAAATATAAAAACAAATTCTTTTTGCCTGAAATTTTTAATTTGTTTTCTTCACATTAAATGTATGTCACTTATATCATCAATTATCTCTCTGCAATAAATTTTAATTTATTATCTCTCATGTACTTTATTTACAAATAAAGGTATAATGAGACTATCTTATACATTTATTGCTTAAATTAAATTTAACTAACATTTTAAATTGTGTGATTTTAATAATTGTTTCACAAAAAGAGCATTAAATACATCATATATTATATTCTCTTGGATCCTATATATAAGCTTCAAATAATTGAATTTTTTAACAAATTAGCAGTTAAAATTAATTAAAAATAATAAATAGGTTAGAAATGTATTTTTTTCAAATTTACCCTTATTTATTAAGAGAGTAAATGAGAAAAAGAAATAAATAAAAGATAAAAAAAGAGAATATATGAGGTATTATTAATAACAGAGAGAGTATTAAATACAGTCAACTAAGGGCAAAATAGAAAAAAATAATAAATGCTTAAATAAGCTCAAAAATAAATTTTATATTTTAGACCAAACTTCTCTTCAAAAGTGAAACTTATATATAAAACCGGAGGAAATACTAACTAATTAAATGCTAAATCCCACCAAATAGTCAGGTTACCATATCTCAAATTCATACCAAAGCAGCTGGACTTTGAACCAACCCCCGGAAACCAAAAAAAAAAAAAAATCATTTGCAGAAAAAAGTTCACCACTTTGAAAGTAGATTAAGGTTATTGGCTTAAATGAGAAGAACGTAATAATAGAATACACACACACATTAAGATTAAGGATTCAAAACGTTTACCTTTTTTTGGTTCTTTATATAAAAACATATTTGTTTTTTTTAATATCTAAGTAAATATTAGGGTTAATCGTTAAAGAATACATAATTATTACTGGTAAATATTTTAATCGAGTTTCTTTATTCTCGTGATTTGGTTAAAATAATGAAGTATAATCACAAAATGAAGGCACAAAATGCTTAATTGGGATAATAGTCAAGGTATCACACACACACCCACGTATATACACTCCTTCTATGCTTACTATACTAATTTACACACATCAATCAATCATACACATTAAAACTATGTCTTAGCTTATAAAAAGTATTGAGAATTTCTTTCATCAGAAGGACCCCTACAATAAGGACTATATATATAGAAGCCCAACACAAAGTCTCAAACTAGTGGGAAGAGTCAAAATCTCAAAACACTCCATCCAGAAAAATACGTACATTTGCAATAGCTATGCTTTCTCCAAGGCTGATTTCTCTTCTCTTCTTCTTCTTTCTGATCCTCAACCTAACCCTAATATCTCATCACGGCACCAATGCCCAGCAAAACTTCTTGAATTCTACTGCGGTAACAGCACCGTCGACGATGAGACCACCAAGAGTACCTTCAAAACCAACCTAAAATCCCTTTTATTTAACATCTCTTCCGACACAAAAATCGACTATGGCCTCTACAACTTGTCCTCCGGCCAAAACTCTGACAAAGTCAATGTTATCGGCCTATGCCGAGGAGATGTTAAGGTACAAGATTGTCGCAGTTGTCTCACAGATTCAAGAGTTGTTCTTCTCCAAGTTTGTGCCCCTAACGTCAGAGAAGCAATCGGGTGGTACGATAACTGCTTTCTCTGATACTCCAACCGAACCATATTCGGCGTCATGCAAACACAGCCATATTTCTATCTGTGGAACACACAGGACGCGTTGCAGAAGGACCAGTTCAAGCTTGTGGTGACAGAGCTGATGAAGTTCTTGAGAGAGAAAGCTGCTTCCGACGACTCTGTTCGGAAGTTTGCAGCGGCGAACGCGACGGGACCGAGCAATCAAACGATATACGGTCCTGCACAATGCACGCCGGACTTGTCGAGCAAGGATTGCAATAATTGCTTGAATGGGGCAATCTCTGAAATCCCGAAATGGTGCGATGGAATGAAAGGTAGAAGAGTGGTAAGACCCAGCTGCAACATTAGATATGAAACCTACAGCTTCTTCGATCCTGCTGCTTCATAATCTTTCACATCACCGCCGTTGCCACCATCCCCTCCGGCAGTTCTTGATTCCGTACCCAAACAAGGTGTGTAGATATTTATATGAAAAATCACTTAACAGTTAACTCAAAAAAAAAAAAAATCATTTATCAATCCCCTATCCTAAATATATGAACCATTTTGTAGTACAAGTTATCCTATATTTAAGACGGGAGAGTACGATGTAGATAATCTAATCAATTAAATGAGCAGCATGCAACTGTTGTCATTGTTTTCTATATCGTAAGTTGTTATTGCAGGCTACTTAGTTGAGTTGAGGCGTGAGCTGCGTTTTGTTAGCCGCCTCGCAGCTACCCGTTGCTTTTGGGGTTTTTTTTTAAAAAAAATTTTAGTTTCTTTTTACCATTAGATTTTACATAAAATAAATGACATTTTGATATCTTATTTGTAAAAAAAAATTTAATTTTTAATTTTTTTATAATTTTTTAAAGATTTAATACTTTAAGATGAAAACAAACCGAACCATTTAGAGTATTAATCTTAAAAAAATATTAAAAAATTAAAAATTAAACCATTTTTTTAATAAATAAGATACCAAAATGTCTGTAAAATCTAATAATAAAAAAAGGCTCACAAAAAATATCTGGGAAAAATTATAAAATTAAGAGGTAGCTGACACCCTAATCCCACCCACATCTTGTGAAACTTTTTATTGATTAAAATGTTTGTGTGTGATTGGCGATAAAAGGTCTCTTATGACTACTCTCTAATGCAATAAGCTTACACACACACACACATCACTGATCATTAGAATTTTTCATAAAATAAGTTACCGATATGGAATGCTGTAATTTTGAGCTTTAAAAAAAAAATCAAAACTGCATGCTTTTTCAAAGTATTTTTCTTCCAAAAATCATAAATAAAAATTCAAAACTGTATCATTTCATATTTATAAGGGTTAAGGTGTAAATTTAACAACCATGTTTTAAAAAAGGACAACTGGCACCATTTACTTTTGAAGGGTGCTAAAGTAGACATAAAGATTAAAAAAGAGCACTTTTTAACCACAGCCGTTGGAAGGCCCAAACGTCCGTCCACTTTGTGTAAGTGGGTTCCACATCTTTTTCCACCTGGCAAGTGTTAAGCTTCAGACCATTTCAGACGTGGCAGGTAGAGAGTTCAATGACTCTATTAAAGTTCAAACGCCTTTCCCTGTAACCACATTTATACCCATCGAAGAAGGCAAAGACGCAGGGAGTACACAAAGTGAGGTCTAAAAGTGAAGTTCATGGCATCATCATCGTCCTCATCGACGGCAAGATACAAGAGAAGGGTTGCTTTATTGAGGCAACCTAGTCATGAGGACAACTATGAACCGCCGATGAGGTATTGCCATCATGGGTTAGTAGCTCCCCGATGGACGGCGTGGACTGATAATAACCCAGGTAGGAGGTTTTATGGCTGCCCAAACTATGACCAGGTATGAAGTGGTTTTCTTGCTGTGAAAAATGCTATTTTCTTCCCTAGTTCCGTGGTTGAAATGTTGGTATTGAACACGACAGGATGGGGGATGTGGCTATTTCTCTTGGCATGATAGAGACTTCGGTGAAAGGGCAAACACTGTGATCAAGGAGCTATTAGATGATATTGACAGACTATATGATGAAAGTAGCAAGAACCAAAGAGGAGAGCATGGGAGGAGACTAAGTGAAGAGCTCAATGTAATTCACAGTGAATTGAAGAAGCTTAAATGCAGACATGAGCTGAATGATGTGGAAGAGAGGAAGAGGGAAAATAAGTTTAGAAGAGCAATGTTAGTGTCTGTAATGATATCGGTTGCAGTAGTTGCTTTGTATTTGACAAAGTAGGAGTGTGTGAAATTGATTGCAATATATTTGTATGTCAGGAGATATGGGTTATGATAGCTGTTTTGTAACAATTATGGACCACTTCGATGTATATTTGATGAAAAAATTAGGGTTAAGGTTCTTAATTGCCCCGGAAGTTTTTGTTTGTTCTTAAATATCCCGGAAGTAATTTATCGTAGCAATTATGCCTCGAGTTAACGTTCAGGCAAATGGACGTTTGTAAATGACACGGTGTCGAGAAGATGGACGACACGTTGGTGAATGAGATGGTGACGTGGCACTGTTGTGTCGACAAAATAAAAGTTGATGCCGAAGGTCAATGTTGTCATCGAAGGCTTTTGTCGTCGATCAAAGCGAGGTGGGGCGCATGTGAAGTGTGAGAGAAGACCAAAGATTAGTTCTCGAATATGTATTCAAGAAGACCAGCTCTCAAATACGTATTCGAGAAGACCATTTCTCTAATATATATTCAAGAATATATTCAAGAATATATTCGAGAATAAATAAGAATACATTTATCGATAAGCTGTTTGATAAATGAACTTATCGATAAGCTACTCGAATATATTCTTGAATATATATTAGAGAAATGGTCTTCTCGAATACGTATTTGAGAACTGGTCTTCTTGAATATATATTAGAGAAATGGGCTTCTCGAATACGTATTTGAGAACTGGTCTTCTTGAATACATATTCAAGAACTGATCTTTGGTCTTCTCTCAAGAATTATTCACGTGGTGAAGCAATTACTGATCCAACAATTATATAACAAGGGTGGTAATTTTGATGGCAATAATGTTAATTGAAATAATAGAAGAGAAGAACATATGAATTAAATAAGATGTAAAGGTAACCTAATTAATAATGAGGAACTGAAGATGTAACATAAGATAATAACCTTAATTAATTATAATGGACATTTGTACATGCCACTAATGTTGCTAAATTAGTTACATCACATAGGACTTGCAAAATAAGAAGGCATTCATCTGAAAGACTAAGCATTGGTTCACCAAAATTTAGACCTAGGAAGTGATAATCCCATGTAAAAGGCAATAAGGTAACCATAATCCAAGTAACGAAATACGTAGTACAAAATAGTCAAATACATAGTCTTAAATGTTTCTAAGCAATCTAAATGTCAGAGCTCTTGGAGTTGGTCTTGCTTCTTGTCTTCATCATTTGGCTTTGCAGTTGGAGGTGGGCACTTGAAATGCTTCGTTGGCCCTTCCACATCAACCCAGGAGGTGTGAATGGTAGTGTTGATGGTTGTGAAACAGCGGTCCCTTGCCTAGTGAATAGTATCCTCCTGGAACCCTCTAGTACAGTGCGTTTTAAAGCTCGTGACAGTCGAAGTTCTTTCTCATTTGGGATTGGAAATTTACTCTGAGGGTCCACGTAGTGTTGTATATACTCCTGTGCAATACCCTCCTCAATGACCACCTCAGAACGCATTCCAAGCTGCATAAGTCAATAACATTACTTAAATGACAGTAACTTTGCATGAATTAAAATGGAAGAGAAGAGTGTCTAGTAATACTTACATTGTAGACGGTTCTCCCAGTTCCCTCATCAATTCTTATACCCATTCCACACTCAACTCTGGGCTTGTAGACAACCCTCTTTCTTGCTATGTGTTTGGAAGGTTTAGGTGGTTGTTGTGTCGATGGAGGATGATTTGTCGACTGTTAGGAGGGTAAAGTGGAATTGGGTGGTTGCTGTGAAGGTAGAGGGGGTGGTTGTTGTGTAGGTGGACTATGTGGTTGCTGTGAAGGTGAAGTGGGATTGGATGGTTGCTGTGTTGTGCCTTGGTTGGCTGTTTTCCTCCTTCTACCAGGTCGAGGCTTATTTGAGGGAGGTGCCTAGAAAGAAATGAAAAGTTAGCTTATAGTTATTGTAATAAATGAATATAAAGAAATTGGCACAAGTTACCTCTGTGCAAGTGCTTCTATTGTGCCCAACTTTCCTGCAGAAGCCACATTTGTTGACTTGTCCCCGTTTGCTTACTCTTTCAACAAGTGGTGTTTCTGAACCATTGCTCATGCCAGCTTTACTTGACATAGCTTGAGTAGCTTTCCTAGAGGCAACATTTGTCCTTCTTGCTACTTCTTCTGTCCTGATTCTTTTTTTCCTTGGTCAGCCAGGCAATGTGCACTCAGGTGGTGGTAGCATAGGGATAAATTGTTCTGTATCCCAGAATTGTTTGCCCCTCACAGGTGCAAACTTTGTCCTATAGCTAGCAATGTAGGTTTCCTTGTGGTAATAGCATGAGATATGGGTGAGGGGCTCCAGTTTACAGTGATACATAGCATGAATAGCATGTTAGCATGGGATTCCAGTTAAATCCCATGCCCTGCACGTGCACGTTTTCCTAGTGAGACATACTGTGTGCCTATCTTGTCCCTCAGTCACCTCAAATCCCTCATCCCCATTGAAAAAAACTCTACATGTAGAGGACAACAACCTATTTGCTTCAAATAAGTCCAGACATTTTGGACTATAGTTGCCTTTCCAATTCCTCACATTTTGCTCACTCTCAGCCCATTTTTCCATCATCTTAACCCTTATCCCATCAAACATTCTAATAACAAGTAGATATCAATATTCATCAATCCAAGAATTTAAACTCTCACTCATATTGTTGTCTACAACCCAAGACAAGCATCTATTACTGAAAGAAGCTCTTACCCAAGCAGAGGTATAGGGTATGACACCATTGCTTCAGCTGCCTCTTTGTTAAGTGCTCCAAGTGCTTTGAGATTGTCTTTGAATTGTTCTTCAAACGTACTCCAAGCACAAGAGAAAATTTTTTTCTTCATCTCGTTTCCTCTCCACCTTTTGCTCCAGTTAGCATAAATATGCCTTGCACAAAGTCTATGCTTGGCCTCTGGAAGTATCTCTGTCACAGCATGTTGTAATCCCTACATGTATAGAACTAGTCAATTAAATGTTCTCATTAAAACCACATAAGTCATATGTAAATCAGCAAAGGTAACTAATCATACCTTCTGCATGTCTGACATGAAAGTTACTTTGCCACCATTGTGAAGATCAAGTGATATTCTAAGCCACTGAATGAACCAACTCCAATTCATACCATTCTCTTTATCAACCAAAGCAAATGCTAACGGGTACAATGAGTCGTTAGCATCTAAACCAACAGCAGTTAACAGAATCCCTCTAACTTTACCTTTAGAAATGTTCCATCAACTCCAATCAATGGTCTACACCCAACTTTCCAACTAACCTAAACCAACAATTTTGACTCATCAGGACAAACTGAAATATAAAACAACAAATTAACAGATTATACCATATGTGACAGAAATCTAAACATCATACCTTTGCTGCATTAAAACACAAATACATTCTTCTAAAAACTCTTCTCCCTTGTTCCAAAGCCTCGTTACTTATCTCCATACTAATATCTGACCCAAGATTTGACACTTTCAGTTCATTGCAGTAAGCTTCTAACTTGGAGAATTCATCTACGAAGCTCCCATCCATGTGTTGTATTATTCTCCTCTTTGCCCTCTTGCACTTATGTAAGCTCACGTGGACCTTCAACTCACGCTCAACATCATTCTTCATTTCACATATGCTGTAATTAGGTCTCTCCTGTATTTTCTCCTTGAAGTGTTCAGCTAGCCACTTCACACTTGCCCTAGGGTTCTTGAAAACCTACCACACCTGTGCTCATTGCACAATGTCTTCACCTTGTAGCCCACATTATTCCCATCTCTCGATGCATATAAGGTGAATGGGCACCCTCTTCACATATTGCCTTTAATAACCTTTTCTCACTTCTAATAATTTTGATATTAACCCCTTTCGAAATAGCATAGCTGTCTATGGCGCTCCTAAGCTCATTTAGGTCTAAGAAAGTCATGCCTAACATAAAGAAAGGCTGGTCTCCCAAGCCCTCCAACACGCTAAGCCCAACTCTTTCATCTGGAGGCTCACAATCTTCATTAAGGCCCATATCCTCATCTTCCTCTTCACTATTTTCAGATACTTCAAAATCATCCACCAAACTCTCCTCAGTGTCAGAGCTGGCACTATTTCCAACATAATTCGAATCCTCGCTATCAGAACCTTCTTCATCCTCACTATCTCCCCCTTCCTCACTTTTATCGTCATCCTCATCCATAACCAATACTCTTTTCCCTTTGTCAATTTCTCTAACAACGTCATCCTCACTATCTCCCCCTTCCTCCCTATGTTCAGGTAAATCTTCAATTCCATCATCATCTATCTCTTCTAAACCATCTACATCTACACACTCAATCACCTCTTGTTCTGGATCTCTGTCATTTTCATTGCCCTGTTTCTCTTTGTCATTTTCATTGCCCCCTACCTCTCTCTCATCTTGATTGGCCTAGACCCATCTCTCATTTTCCTTACTTCTTCTTACCCACTCACCTATGCTTCCATGCCCCTCACTCAATTTTTCCTTCGTCCTTTGCACACTTCGTTTTGCCAAATCAAACATTTGACTCACCTTTTTAAGTAGCCTCGCATGCTTCTCTTCCAATGTCTCGTACTTCTTGGCCTCCGTGTCGTCTCCTCCATTTGTGTCAACATTGCCCGGTTCAACAGGAACATTAACACCCTTGTTTGTCGCCATTCGCACTGCAACAAGTAAATCCCCAAATTATTAAGGGCTTCGACGCCATTTCACTATTCAACTTAAAAATACAACAACTTTTTGTCTAAATCGATGCTTACCTGTGAAGAATCTACTGTTCCCTCGTCTGTAATCCTTCGAGAATCTTCAATCACATACTCTTCAATGGACCACACTTGCTAACCCTCTATCTCGATTTCTCACGTTTTTAGTTTCCCAATTCAGAACCTACAAGAATCTTAATTCTCAGCTTTCTCGTTCTCTCCTTACCCCATGACGCTTTGCCTCCTACTCTTAATGTTTGATTTCGCGCCTCACACTTAATCCAATTTTTAGGTCTCAGCCACATCACCTTAGTCTCAGCCACATCACCATTTTCTTTCTGCCATGTCACTATTTACTCCCTGCCACTTCATCATTTTAGGTCAAATTTTTCTCACGCCCATCCTTGTAACCGTCAACGTTAGGCCTTTCAACGGCTGTGGTTAAAAAGCGCTCTTTTTTAATGTTTGTGTCTACTTTAGCACCTTCAAAAGTAAATGGTGCCAGTGTCCTTTTTGTAAAACATGGTTGTTAAATCCGCACCTTAACCCATTTATAAATATCAAAATGTTTTTGATTTCATAGATAATCTAATCATCAACAAGAAAGAAATGTTGTAACCCAAAGTTGTTTTGAGCAGGAGGTGCAACTCATCCCGAAATATAATTACCGTGCGAGAGTCCCAATTATTGTGTTGCTGGCAGTGCTCATCTTTGTGGTCCTACTTAAATCCAGGAGAGCCAAAAATATTGAAAACTAATAAGTCAACAAATATTTCATGTTCTGGTGAGTTCTATAATTATTTAATTTATTTTATATATCTACTTTTCTTCTTAATTTAAATGTTGGGGTAAAAAACAAAGGTATTTTGCTACAAAATCTATATTATATATCCTTTTTATTTTGTAGAAATAATAAAATAAATTGGAATGAAGTAAATCAGTGAGTATAATGCAGAGGTTCCAAGAATTTATATTATATTGCATGTTAAATTTAACAAACTTTTATAAAAAAAATTGGGAAAA